TTTATTTTAGATTTTTAATTATAATTTAAAATTTTTATTAAATTTAAATAAATTTTTATATTACATTTAATTTAAAAAGTTAATTGATTATTAATTTTTACAAAAAGTGCATTTTTAGTTTTAGGTGTTAAATTCAAATTTCTCTCTAAATTTGTACTTATTCAATAAATAAATAAATAAATTTTTAAATTTATTATTTTGAGTAATTGTATTATTTTCTTTATGATGATTTTATTATTAGTTTGTATTTTATTTACATAAATAAAATTAATACCCATTACATTGATAATAATATGTTAAAATCTTATTTACATAAATAATGCAGAAACAACCTTTAAATATACAGTAAAAAATCAGAGTTAAATTAAAATTTTAGAGATTTAATAAAAGATTTGAAATAAGTTTAGGGACTTCATGTTGAATTTTACTTAAAAATAATTAAAATTTTACTTTAATATCATATTATTATAGTTAATATTATTTATATAAATTTAAATTTTTATATGTTTAACCCAATACATCTATTCAATACACAAAATTTTTTTAAAAAATTTACATCAACATTATTTATTTAACTCACATTTTATAAATTAAAATAAAAATTTTTGAATTGAAATTCTTTTTATAAAAGAAGGGAAACCGTTATTGAAAGATTGCTGCAGCAAACTGCTGCATAAAAGGGACACTTTCTTGGGTCAAAATTAAAGAAACGAAGCTTGTTCTATGCAGTTAGGAAGTTAGGCTTTGAAACATGACTCCAGTTGTAAAGTGGCATATAATTTATTTTGAGAAAAATAAAATAAAATAAACCTTTACTGTACACCCTCTAATATGCCAAAAAAAAAAAAAAGGGTTAAAAATTTAAAGTTCAAGATTAATAATGAACATTGCTTGTGCAGAGCGTTGATTCCAATGTCACTAGGTTCCTATACTTTTCTTCAGCTTGAGGCAATGCCCTGCGCTCTTTCTTTCTTTCCCAGAACTTGATTGCGCTTGCAGTCACTATCGGTGTCTCTAATAAAGCATAATGGCTGAATGCGTTCTCGACATCGTCACCCCTCTGATAGAGAACGCAATTTCCAAAGCGTTTTCATTCGCTTGTGCACAAATCAGCCAGGCATGGGGTTTGGAGAATGAGCTGGGGAAGCTTGCTCGGACGCTTACTATGATCCAAGGAGTTCTCCAACATGCTGAAGAGAGGCAGGAAAGCAATCAAGCTGTAAGGATTTGGTTACAGCAGCTCAGTGATGTAGCTTATGAAGCTGTAGATGCACTCGATGAGTATGCTTATGAGGTTCTTAAGCACAAAGTCCAGTCTCGAGGCCGGAGGAAACAGGTGCACACCTTCTTTTCTCTCTTCAATCGCCCTGTTTTTTGTCTCAAAATGGCTGATAAAATTAGAAAGATTAATCGGTCTCTGGCTATGATCAAAGAAAATGGGGTTTTTGTTCTGCTTATTGGACTTGGTGAGCAAAGTTGTCTTACTACCTGTGCTAGGCAATATTTTAGGACAGACTCCGTCCTTGATTGTTCAATATTTGTAGGAAGGAATGATGATGTCTTGAAAATTGTCAACGTGCTGGATAACATGAGGAGTCAACATCTCCTTTCTGGCATTTCCATAGTAGGCTTAGGGGGCATAGGGAAGACAACATTAGCAAAATCAATATGTCAGATGGCAAAAGAACAAAATTTGTATGATCTAGTGGCTTGGGTGTGTGTATCCGAGAATTTTGATGAACAAATGATATTAGGGGATATGTTAGAATACATTGATAGCAGTGCTGGTCGAATGAATAACATGGATGTACTTATTCAAAAGCTTGGGAAAGGGTTAGAACATAAAAACTTTCTTCTCGTTCTTGATGATGTGTGGAATGAAGAAAAAGACAGGTGGGATAGTTTTGAGTCTCGTCTGTCAAAAATTTCAAAAACCACTGGTAACTCAATTCTCATGACAACTCGCAGTGTCAAGGTAGCATCTATAATGGAGAGACTTCCTATGCACAAGCATGATATGCAGAAGCTATCTGATAATGAATGTTGGTTGATAATTAAGGATATTGTTCTCAGATCTTCCACAGAAACTTCAATAGCTTCAGATTTAGAAGGTATTGGACAGGATATTGCAAGACAATGTGGAGGGCTGCCATTAGTTGCAAGTGTCATGGGAGGAACATTGGGTCATGAAATTTCTACTGATAAGTGGAAGGAGATTAGAGATGATAGAGCATGGATGTCACAGGATAAAAATAATAAGATTTTATCCATTTTGAAAATAAGTTTTGATCGTTTGCCTTCACCTTTGAAAATGTGCTTCTCTTATTGTTCAATTTTTCCAAAGGATTATGTCATTAGAAAAGATGATTTAGTTCAACTCTGGATGGCTCAAGGTTTTCTGCCCAAATCAAATGAAAGCCTTGTGACAATGGAGGATATTGGCAGTGAGTATTTCAATGAGTTGTTATCCAATTCTTTATTCCAAGATCTTGATTGTGATTTGTATGGGAATGTTGAATCTTGCAAAATGCATGATCTTGTGCATGATCTTGCATTGCTTGTTTCAAGAGGTAAAACTTTGATATGGGATGCTAGGTGCAATACTGATGAGAATTCTACCATTCGACATTTGAGAGTTGAGTCTAATGGAGAGGTTCTTCCAACCATCCCAAGAAGTATTGTTCAAAGGTTGCATTCATTGTTTTCAAATCTTAATGTTTTTTGTAGCATGGCATCAGATCTCAAAAGCTTGCGATCTTTAAAATTATTTTGGGGAGGTGAGGAAGAAGAGTTGCCAACTTCACTCAAGAAATTGAAGCATTTGAGGTACCTTGACATCTCAGGAATATATTTCAAAGTACCAGCACGATCCTTCTCTGAGCTTTACAATTTGCAGACTTTAAATGCCAATTCCAATTGTCTTATGAAGCTTCCTAATGGTGGGGCAAATCTGATCAGCTTGAGGCATATATATTCATATCACCCATTCTATGTATCTACTAAGCAATTAACTTCCGTTCAAACACTATCAAAATTTTGTGTGGACACAAAAAAGGGATATAATAGGATTGAAGAGCTTGAATGCTTAAGCCAACTAAGAGGAGAACTAGCAATTTCTCATCTTGATTGTGTAAGATCCAAATTCGAAGCCTCTAAAGCAAACTTGAAAGCAAAAAAATTGTACAAATTGGAACTTGCCTGGAATGATGGAGACAAAGAAGGCAATAGCAATGATGAAGAGGTTATAGAAGGTCTTGAACCTCACTCAAATTTGAAAAGCTTAACTATTAAGAACTACCGAGGAAAGAACTTCCCATCATGGTTGGTGAGAAGTGACAGCTGTTCTGGTTCTTCAATTCTTCTCAACAACATGGTGGAGTTGAAATTATCACATTGCTATGAATGCACGTGTATTCCAAGTCTGGGACTATTGCCTAGTCTCAAGGTTCTGTACATTGATGATATGCCACAGGTAAGAAGAATGGGTCACATGCTTGATGGGAGGAGTCAATCTGATAGGGTAGAATCAATCACATTGTTCCCAGCTTTGAAAAAGCTCGAGATGTGGCACATGAAAAGACTAGAGGAATGGGTTGAAGTTGCTGAGGATGCAGTGGCAGGAGGCAAAGTTGAGATCGTTTTTCCTTGCCTTGAAGACTTGTTTATTTGTAATTGTCCAGAGTTGAAGACTTGGTCGATAGGTGGATTTTCATCCCAACATAAGCTCTCTAATTTGACAATATTGCTTTGTTCAAATCTGATGGCCATTCCAAGCATAGATGGGCCGTCATCTCTTGAAAGAATAGAGCTTAGTGGCTTCAAGGGATTAACAAGTCTACCATTTGAGCTTGGATATTGCATTTCTCTTCGGGAGTTGGATATTTACAATGTTCCCAATCTAATTTCTATTCCAGAAGATGTCGGAAGATTGCGTTCTCTTGCTTCTTTGACTATTGAACATTGTGAAAAATTGAGAATTCAGGAGTTCTTAGGCTGCCTCCCTGTTGGCTTGAAGGAGTTGAAGATGGGTCCTTTTTGCAAAGACTTGGAGGAATTTCCATTGCCAAATCTCAGTTCTATTGCCTCCCTTGAATCTTTAATTTTGATTGGGTGGGATAAACTAAGGTCTCTGCCGCACCAACTTCAACATCTCACTACCCTCAAGATATTGGGAATATTCTCATTCAACAGAGTGGAAGCTTTGCCAGAATGGTTGGGAAACCTGTCTTCTCTTCAGCAGTTGGAAATTCGTATGTGTCCTAATTTGACCTATCTGCCTTCTCTTGAAGCCATGGAATGCCTCTCCAGCTTAGAATTTCTTTATGCTTTGGATTGTCCCAAGTTAAGGGGAAGATGCACCAACAAGAGTAGCCCTGAATGGTCTAAGATTTCCCACATTCCCAATATCGAAATAGATGATATCCTGCAAGGCAAACCCTGAGGTATGTTTAATTTCTCACACCTTAATCCCTCAATTCAACTTCTGTTTATTTATTTTGAGTTTGATTTTTTTTTCTTCAATTGATTCCATTTTTCAACTCAGTTGTGTTAATCTATTTTCATTAAAATAAATGCAGACAAGCTAGCTTTCCTGCTCTGAAACCAAAATCTTGAAGAACTGAAGGTGATTTTCATATAGGGTACCCATCCAGATAAATGTCCTCTCCATCGAATTGTTGATGCTCTCAAAAACTGATTTAACTATTCTTCACTACTTCAGCCATGTTTTTAGATGATGACAGCATGTCAGGTGCAAGTTTACTGGTATAGACATCCTTCTTTGCTTACAAAGTTTCAAGTTCTCTAGTATAGGATTACCAATTTGCTCTGCAGTAGGTTGTTAAACTGAAACACTTCTTCTTTTTTTTCTTTTTTGCTTTTTTTTTTTTTTTTTGGTAATTTTTAGTAGGATTTAACCGCATTCTAGTGAATCTGTCAATTACACTTACGTGCTGTTCATGTGTATACATTGTTGACTCTGACTAATTGTGGCATAAACATGCTGGGAATTTTGTATTGGTGCAGGTTCAATTCATGAGTTCTTGAAGTTTCTTTAGAGTTCCATGCCAAATGTCTGATCTCATGTGCAAACTGAACCCTTACTTCTCATCGGGTCTTTCTAATCTAAACCTAAACCTAAACGGGAAAACTTGTCAAGGTTTGTCTTGTTGCTTTGCTATCATGTGTGCCCTTAATCAATTTATAACTTTGACCAATTTTCATAGAAAATCAAAATTTTAAGCATAAAAGTTACTCCAATTCAGGTTAGAGATTCTGGTGTTTATGCTCTTGCTACCTTGCTGACTATTTATGATCAAAACTGTTAGATAAGTAGGGTAGTAAATCTGCAAATGGCTTCAAGGCGTGTTGCAAATGCCACTTTCCTTTAGGCTAATTTCACCCCCACCAAATCTGGTATGCAAAAGGAGTAACTCGAAATGCCTGTAGGATACAATGAAGCGCCTTGTTGATCTTGCTTTTGCACTAGCAAGATCAACCACTGAACTCTCCTTTGGAAAGCGACAAAACAATAGTTTTTGTACAAGGATTTCTGCAGCAATCGAAGTGCAAAAAGGGGCTGTTGTATTTAGATAACAGTAGGGATTTGTTTCTGGGTTCAAGAGACCAAGAAGAAGAAGAGATAACTTCATATTTATAGGGGCAAGATGTCTGTTGTGAACAGACACTCCTTTTTAGTTATTATTATCAGTTTATTAACGGATAATAACTGAATTATCATGAAATTTATCCATTGGAAACTTTTCCAAAAGTCATTTGGTTTGATTTAAACTCCAAATGACGTGTTTCCTTGCCTTCCAAAGTTATCCACTCTCTTCAGAAACTTATCTGAATTTTATCTCTTATTCTGACGTAAATGGTTCGAATAAGAAAAATGTAGTTCGAACCGAAATCGTAACTTTTCGGATTTTAATTTTCTGTAAATGATTTGAATCATATAATTATGATTCGAACCAAAGTTACACTTTCTCAAATACATTTTGCGCAATTGCTTCGAATCAACTTTTTGTGGTTCGAACCCAAATCTTGGAAATATTTTGAAAATTCTTCAACATTCCCCCACCATTTTCAAAATAGAATAGCCCTCCAATTGTTTTGGAAATCTTATGCATACATGAAGGTATCTTACGATTTGAACCTTTCACTTAGTGAACATGTGTTGGCAAATTAATCAGAATTGCATGGTAGACTAATGCTTTGAACCA